CCCGCACCTCGCTCAGCCAGTGAGCGGGAACCGGTCTGTATGTGGGATCCGAAACCTCGGCGGGAGCGCCGCCGCGCTCCCAAGCGGCGCACTGTAGCAGTGCGCCACCGGGCCGGCCCAAGAGAAATTTTTAAAAAATGTTTTTCTGCCCCCTCAAATAGCTTTAAAAAATGAGATATTTTTCTCCTGCTATTATTATCACCATCATTTTGTGGGATTATGTTAGATATTGAACAAACTGAGCTAAAAAAAAGAGAGCTGAACAAAGGTTGTTCAAAAGTGAACGAATAAACAGATATTATGGATCTGAAAACTTACACAAAAGAGAAACAGCTAAAGGCACATAAATAAATGAAGACTGTGCAACATGGGGGGGAGGAAAGGTTTGTGCAGAGCTGAGTGCGGGGAAGTTGTACACCCCTTGAGCAAGTGGACAGTCTACCTCTCTCTAACAGGAGGAGTAAGTGTTTCAAATTCTTTGCTAAAAGTTAGGGTCTCCGGGCTCTAGGGTGGACCGTGTCATCTCCTGGCTGCAAGACTATTCATCAATGATGCCCTGGTTTGCATGCCCAGCTGTGACCTCAAGCCTCTACTGTCTGCTGACACATGGGCCCTCAACCCTGAGCTGTTCACAGCAGAACCCCTAGCCCTCCCCAGCTCTAACTGCTCTCCCATCTCCATCTCCTCTCCATCTCCTCCATCTCAGTGAATGCCCCATTATTGACCCAATTGCTGGCCCAAGTCATAGGACGTGGACTGACCCCTCTTTCTTGCAAGCTCTATAGGCAACCCATCAGCAAGCCCCCCATGCAACCTTCACAGACACCCCAGCCTCTCCATCTCCACACAGCCTTTCAGTGATGCCCTGGTTTGCATGCCCAGCTGTGACCTCAAGCCTCTACTGTCTGCTGACACATGGGCCCTCAACCCTGAGCTGTTCACAGCAGAACCCCTAGCCCTCCCCAGCTCTAACTGCTCTCCCATCTCCATCTCCTCTCCATCTCCTCCATCTCAGTGAATGCCCCATTATTGACCCAATTGCTGGCCCAAGTCATAGGACGTGGACTGACCCCTCTTTCTTGCAAGCTCTATAGGCGACCCATCAGCAAGCCCCCCATGCAACCTTCACAGACACCCCAGCCTCTCCGTTTCCACACAGCCTCGCTAGGCAAAGGCAGCAGCATCCACCCGGCTCCCCACTTCTACCTCCTTTAGTCTCTTCAGTTAAAGAGAGTTATAGATACATATAAATCTGTTCATGTAAGAGCTTAAACCTCTTAAAAAGCTTCAGAGAACACTCAGAATAAAATCCAAAATCCTTAGCTTGGCCTTTGAAGCTGAAATGATCTGGGCCCTGCCTGTCTCTCTAATCCCATTTCTTATCACTCTGTGTTTTGTCCACTCAGCTAATTCCCACCTCAAGGTCTTCGTATTTGCTGTTCCCTCTGCCCGGAACACCTTCCCCATAATGCTGCATGGTTGTCACCTCCAATAGGAGGCCTTTCCTGACCCCCTTATCTAAAACATGTAGTCTTCCTATTCTGTCATTTCCTACCTTGCTCCAGTGTTTTCTCAAAGCACTTGCCAGTGTCTGACCTTACACTGAGCATTTTTGTTTATAGGCTCCAGGAGAGCAGCTCATGGAATATTTGTTAAATGACTAAGTGAATGCCACTTGTCAAGTTACTTAAGTTTTCTGGGTTCCATTTCCTTCATTAGAAAACATCAAATAGGTCCCTTCCTGCCTTAAACTGTTATTTCTTCAAATCTGGGTGCCTTCGGGCAGGGGCAGGGATGCTGGGATGTGGGTCTTTAAGCTTGTGCTGTGGGGAAGGCATTCCAGGCCCAGAGAGGGGCTTGCAGACCCAAAGGAGTGAAATGGTCCAAGAAGCAGAGGTGGGAGTAAGCGAGGGGAGTGAGGCAGCCCAGGGGGGTGTGGAGGGGACAGAGGAAGCAGAGTGAAGGTTGGACTCCGTGTGGTGCAAGTCACAGTCTCGGTACTAAGACACGGTGCTCAGCACACAGGCTCCCCGCCGGGCTCATGCCCTGGTGCCCGGGAAGAACGCTGGGTCACCCCTTTCAGCCACTCAAAACCACGTGGAGGTCCTACTGCAGCCAGGCTCACCGTGTGCCACCTGCCGTCACTGCATTTCTCTTTGCTTTTGAGCCTCAGCTTTTTCCCTTCTGCCCCCAAGGTAAAAACCAGGCGTCCTTTGGAAAGATACAAAGCCATGAAGGAGCTCCGAGTGCCTGAGTAGAACACTAGCCCTCTGGAGGATGTCGTCTGCATGTCCACAGCAAACCTGTGAAGAAAGAAAAGCCACAGGCGATGAAGGAGAACGGAGGTTTTTAGTGTTTCTCTGAATCTCAGAGCTGGGAGAGATGATGGGGAGTGAATACCCAAAACTCCAGTTTTCAAATTGATAAACTAAGGCATGTACTGATTAAATGACCCGTCTCTCTGGGAACTTTTAAAAGCCATTATGCTCTCTGCTCTCTCTGCTCCACCATTTCCCATTGTGATACCCTGTGTCACTGAAGTCACCACCAAGACCCTCACCAGATGTGTTCCCTAGACTTTGGACTTTCAAGCCTCTGAAACTGTAAGCAATAAATTTCATTTTCTTACAAAAAAAAAAAAAAAAAAAGCCATTATATTCCAGCTGTCGATGGTTTCGTTGTGTGATTTCCTCCCTGCATTGTGCATCACTCCTATGGGAGACAGAGCTAGTGGTGGAAGTCCCAGCACATGGCAAGAAGGAACATGCCTGGACTTTTTTTTTAGATCTACATTTTGAAAAATTATGGTAAAATACACATAGCATAACATTTACCATTTTAACCACTTTTTGAGCATGAACACCACTGAACTGTATGCTTAAAAAGCACATTCACAGTGCTGTGCAATCTCCAGAATTCTCTTCATCTTGCAAAACTTAGACTCTGGCCCTATTAAACACTTCCTCCCCAGTCTCCCCTCCCCACCAGCTGCTGGCAAGCACCGTTCTGCTTTCTGTCTTTATGAATCTGACCATTCTGGGTACTTCATGTAAGTGAAATCATACAGTATATGTCTTATTGCAACTGGCTTATTTCACTTAGTAGCCTGTATGTTTTAAACCCAGTGAATATGCATTCTATTTTGTATATATTCACCGAGAAGAAGTTGTGGGGGAAGTAGGGGGACAATTTGAACAACACAAGGATGTGACAAGCATCAGGTAAGCATTTTCTTTCTGTAAGACATATTTAACACAAAGGCACAGAAGCACAGATCCACCTTCTCCTACCCATCTCTACACTTCTTGGACCCCACCTATGATGGAAGAGGAATTGGGCAAATGTCATGCAGTAGAAGGAGAAAATGAAAGTTAATATGCATCTGCATAACAGTTACATGTCATATGCATAGCTGGCTGAGCAAGCTCTGCTTTCTGTGAAAACTCACATTCATCCATCCATCCATCCACCAAGAATTTCATGACCGTGCGGCATGTACAAAGCACTGTGCTGGGAACTGGGTATGCAGTGAGGGACGTGTCATCCCCTGAACTGTTTCAGGTGCACTGGCAGGGCTTCGTGAAGGTGCAGCATGGAAAGGAGTAGGAGGAGGTGCAGGTACTAACAGGCTGCCAGCACCCATCCCTGTGGTTCATGTCCAAGTACATCACACACAGCAGAGGAACTGGGTCTATCCTCTTACCAGCTGTATCCCCAGAGCTGACACACAGTAGTTACTCAATAAATAGCTACCACCGAGCTAAACACTACATGGAAAATGTGGAGGCAGAGCCTTGAAAGTGGAAGAAAAAATTACACTGCTGATTCTCTTTGCTTTTTAATACTGAGCCCGCGATGCATATTATTCTTCAGATTAGCAAGTTTCCTTGAGGGCAATGTTCTTCAAAATGAAAAAGAAATCTATATTTGTTAAATTAAATCAACCAGATGGAAACACTGCTCAGTATTCTTGGTGTGTCTGTGTGTTACTGCAGAGGTTTGGAGAACAAGGGTTAGCCAATTAAGGAGGATATTAGGATGTGCTACAGAATTAAAGCACTTTCCATATGTGGGCTGGTGATCAGACTTGACATTTGCTTTCCAGAACTGTTGCTTAAAGCAACTTTCTTTCAGAAAAGACTAACTGACTAACGCCCAAAAAAGGCAGCAGTAGATTCAACCCCCAGTATGTGATACTACAGCTATGACTCTTCATTGCTGGAGGTGGGAGGGTAGGGCAGAGAGCTAAAGACCATTTTCATATATTCACCAAAGGGTTAAAATAGTGGTCCCAGTTCTAAAGGAGAGTCAAAACATTGCTAGAATGCAAATCGGAATTAGAAACAGAATACTCTAAATCTTGCAGTTTCCTGGAAATATAATCTGATTGCTACAACATGTGACACTAAAATAATTTAAAATTTAAAAATTATATTTGCCAATGATTGACTATGTTTTTCACTTTTAAAAATGTTACTTTTTCATTTACGACATATAATTTAGTGTTGGACAGGAAGGCTCAGGGGTTGAATCCTCATCAGAAGCCAGTAACTCACCACGCTGCATGCACTGAGAGAGAAGGAGCGTGGGGTGGGGGTGGAGGGACAGTGATGGGAAGTGAGGCCTCCCCACCAAGAAGTAGCCAGGGAGGGGCTCACTCAGAGGACAGTCACCCCTGCCTGCTGTACCGTGGGGGGGGGGGGGGGGTACAGTGACGGGAAGTGAGGCCTCCCCACCAAGAAGTAGCCAGGGAGGGGCTCACTGAGAGGACAGTCACCCCTGCCTCTGCCTTGGTCTTCTGCTAGCAGTTTTGACAAATGAGGAGACTTTCTATCGGGCCATCGTAGATGTGCAGCAACAGCCCAGGCTGTACATTTGTCTGTCTGTGAGTCGTGCCCATGGCTTACAGAGCGGGCATCCAAGTACCAGTCTCCTTACAAGCTATCACCTCTCCTCCCGCAAGGAAAGCATTATTAACCCCATTTTACTGATGAGAAAATTGAGAGATGCAGCAGTTTACTCAAACATGTTAGACAGGTATAGATGGAAAGCTTAGGCCTAGAAAAGTTAAATAGCATGGTGACCACGAAGCTGTGCCCCTTCAAGAGAACCTGCCGTGGGGGCACTGTGGCTGGCAGCCCCCAGTTGACACACCCTGGGATCTGCAGTGGCACTGGGCCTGCTCCCAGCCAAGGACTGAGTGTGGAGGGTGTCATAGACCTGGGCCATTTATGCCCAACAGTGGACCCTTCTTCGAGGTGACCTGTGCTTGGGGGTGCCCCATGTGGCAGGCCAAGATGTTCTCAGAGCACTCTGAGGTTCCCCCTACCAGCCAGACACTCCTCCCTGCGCCTCTCCCTTCACAGGCATCCTCAGGCCACACCCGGCTGCAGGCTCCCTCCCCACCATCTTTCACAGGCTTTCCCACAATAACCCCCACTCCCATCTAGTCCCATCTTGACATCTGAGTCTCAGAGGTGCTGAACTGGCATCTGGCTGGGGTCACACAGTGGCAAGCAGCCAAGCAGAGATTGAAAGCCAGATGTTAGAGCCAGGTCTTTTCCACCCCAGGGCAATTCTGCCTCTGTAGAGAAGTCATGAAAGAGTGAGTGCTTGGTACCCTTTTATTTATGTGTCCTTCAATCACCTGAAATGATAAACCTTGTTTTTCTACTGTCTTCTGAGATAATTAATATTTCTGCTCATTCCCTGCTCCCCAAAGGAGATGCAACTTGTAAGCACAATAAGTCCAAATGTATTCTCTAAAAATGATCTATCTGGCACTGAGTCTACCTAAAAGAATGATTTTCCTTTCATTGTAGAATGCAAGAGAAGAAAGGTGATTTATCATAGAAATAAATAGCAGCTTGGGGGGGGGGGGAATCTCAGCCTTATTTTTAGAACACTATCAATTCTAAACTGAGCTGAGCTGATTGTTTCGGCCTCTGAGCAGTACAGCCTCACGTTTGCATTCCAGCTGGGGAGCGCAGGCACTGCAGGCAGTTAAGCTCCCTGTCCTGTGCAGGTGAGCACCTCTTTTCGGGAACACAGTAGTGCCACCTTTATTAGTGACAGGCGCATAGTGGCATGCCAGCTAGACTTCCCTGGGGTAGAATCGCAGAGTCAGGTTCTGAGCTGGTGCTGGGGCAGGAAAATTAAATAATACCTGGGATTAAGCAACTCCTGGGGAAGCTTGAATAGCAGGTGGCTAGTGGGACTGTCCCCAAACTGGAGGGCTCTGTGCCTGGCCTGGGCCCCAGGAGGTGGTGGACAAGCCTGTACATCATACTGCACCTTCGTGCTCCTTGGGAAGGCCACTGGTGTGTCCTGCAATAGCTGCAAGAGAGAGGAGCAAAAAAATTAGGACAGCTAATTACCAGGGGAAAGAGTGAAGAATGCTTATCTTGCTAAGAGCCTTATTAAATTTTTCACTCTTGATCCTAAGAGATAAATTCAGAGAAACAGAAGACCCAGGAAATAGGACCACAGGGATGGGAAGTTCCCACCAAGACCCCTTTCTGCAGTGGCTGACTGGCACAAAGGGGCAGAACGGAGGGTCAGAGCTCATTCTTCAGCTCCTTACCCTTCCTGCAGCCAGATCCTCGTGGTCCCCATCTGTGTCCTAATATGGCTTTGAGTCGGGGGCTTTCTGCCACCAGGAAGGTATAAAACAGCAAGGGACAGTGGGCCATTTTCTAGGGGAAACAAAGTTTAGGAGAGTCTAAATACTCCTTTCTCTTGCTCCCACTCTAGGGAGGATGCATATTATTCCTGTCCTACGCAAGGCTTGTCTCTTTTCTGAAAGCTGCTGCACCTGCGACCAGCAGGTATCCAGTGCCCCTCCCCACCAGGGAGTATCACAAGATGCCTACAGCCAGCCAGTGGAATGTGGAGTGGCAAACCCGCCACCTCCCCCTTGTGGCCATTCACTTGAGCTTTTGCAGCAAGGCAGGTGAAAGGACCCAGGGAGGAGACAGAAGAGTGGAGGAAGGGACCACATCTTGTCCCCGCTTTCATCAGAGTTGACCCATGCACAGAAGTCTGTCCTGCACTGAATGATGCTCTGAACTTTTGAACAGGAATGAGCTTTAATGCAGAAAAACAATAAAATAGATTTTAAAAAACAAGTAATAAAAATCAAATGTGACTAGAAAAATTGTTGCAGGAAGCTGAGATTCCCTATCCCTTCCCCTCTTTCCTTTGCTGCAGAGCCCAGACTTTGAAGTGCCCATGCCTCTCCGCTGGGCTCAGAGGTCAATGGAGATCTCTATTAGTCAAAGCAAAAGGTGGGGATTTGCCTTGCAAGGGATTGGTTCAGGAATGGACATGTGACACCCCCCCCCCCCCCCCCCAA